GCGCGGCGCGATGCAACGCATAAAAAGACAATATAAATCATTATAATCCGTAATTATGTCCCCACTGGATGCAACAAATGCCTCGTTTGTAATGGGTTTTCATGTTTTTGATTTGTTGCTCCGGCCGGACAGGGCATCACAGTATGGTAAGGGGCGTAACATATCCGTCACACGTTTGAGGTATTCGGCCAATCACAAGGCACTGGATAGCTGGCCAATCAGAGCACACCTCGCTTTTCAGACCGATGAGCTTTGTAAAAATCGACACTTTTCAGAAAGGCGGGGCATAGAGGAGAAACAATAATGTACAGTATGTGGAAAATAATGTGTTTTTTGAACTTTAAACCGCATAAACACATTTCATTACACCAAATACACAAAATAATGTTCTTTTTAGCAACATCATATGACCCCTTTAACTGAATTAATAACCAGGCTGCTATAGAAACGGTGCTGTTTTGTGAGCCTGGCTCTGATGATTGATGTCTGTATAAAATGAGCATCTACAAAGGCCTGTTAGAATCTCTAGCTGCCCACCTAACACTGAAAGCACCATGGCCACTCTGCTTCCATATTTCAGCTCATTATCCAATTAGGATGACATCAGCATACAGCCTTAACCCTTTACTCTCACTGCCGCACTAGAGATTGCCAGAGGAAATTATATTATAGCAGTCAAATCCAATTAGTTAACACTCCACACACGTACAGTAATAAGCATCTGGCCTATTTATATATGTGTGTGTGTGTGTGTTTCTAGTGGACTTGCTGAAGTTGAGCAGCGTGGCGGATGTGTTTAGAGAACAGGAGCTGCAGCATGCCGAGCATGTGATGGATGTGGTCGAGGTCATCCACGCTCTCACTTCCCTGTATGAGAAACTAGAGGAGGAGAGGTCCGTCCTGATCAATATCCCCCTGTGCGTCGACATGTGTCTCAACTGGCTGCTGAATGTTTACGACAGGTACTGACGGTAATGTCACTCACAACCCATTTGACCTGCTCCCACAAATGATGTCAAACCAACCTTGCACCCTCCTGCTGTCTGTGAGACACTTTTAATGGTCAGTCACATACTGCGCAAAAAATGGCCACCCTATATCTGGAATATGACGTGACATTTATCTAATAATTTATTGCACGAAACATGCATTTCTGCATTAAAATTCATTTTGATATTTTTAAGGGGCAAAACAGTCAAAAATGTAATACAACTGTTCTGTTATTTTAGTATTTTTTTATTTACTAAAATATAAACTATAAATTTTATTATTAATAGTTTGAATTTTTGAGTTTTATTGTTATATTTTCAGTTTTCATTTTCATATATATATATATATATAGCTGAATACAACGAGTACTTGGCAAAGGATTTTTCCTTTTATTTAATGTGGACACTCTTATACGTCATTGACCCTTAAATCTCTCACCAATAGGCAAAGCTGTGTTCTTCCGTGTTCCACAGTGAAGTGAATTAAAAGATGACTACAGAACTGAGACATCACCAGCAGGCAACTAATCAGACTGTAGGGGTTAAAAGCCCCACTGCTTGACTCCCAAGTATCGCATTCTGTGCCAAACTCTTAACTTCTTAGCCAAGATTAAAAAAAAAAAAAAACAGATGATTTTTTAAATTTTTTATAATGAATTATATTTTTATTATATTTAACATTTAATTATTTATTTGTTTTTCATTATCCATTGTGAATTTGTCTCAAATATATACTAGACTCTTAACTACCTGCTGCTAATGACTGGAAATCAGAGCTCTCACTCTGCGAGTAATTGGTAGTAATTGCTTTTTTGTTTTGCTACAAACGGTGGATGTGAATAAGAATGAGCAACATGCATGAGGATGATTATGACAAGCTCTCGGTCAAACAAGAAAGCCAAACAAAGTAGGAAATGTTCCCTTTAGTAGCAATACTGACAGAGGATTTCTTGTGATACAAAGCAAAATGTGATTTGGTAGTGTTTGATCAGTTTGCTAGAAGGTTTTTTGCATCTGTACAACGATCTGTTTAGATTTGCTGGTGAGGTCTTGGTCTCAGTGGAGCACAAATGCTTCCTGACCTGTTTTAGAATCTTTTTTGACAGGCCTATCTGGTGCAATAAATGTGAAATGTCTTTTCTTGTAAGCATAAAACATTGAATAAAACAAAAAAGTGTATAAATTGTATACTGTGTATATTGCTGCATCGCTGTATTTTGCTCAGCTAGCAGTAGCAGCTCCTGGCAGCCTCCTCTTTAAGGATTCAGATGGCTTGGAGGAAGGTACTCCTCCAGAGTAACTTCAGATGTTGACCATGTATCCGTGGTAGCTTGTTAATGACTGTAGTGAGAAGAGGAAGTTGCTGGGATGATTATTTTGTATTTATTTATTTATTTAACATGGAGATGAATTGAGCAGACTGTACAACATGATGCAGGGCCTTTCAGTCCTGTTTGGTGCCTCTCACTGTAGTTACTCCATAGTTGTACTAATTGATAAGATCATTTCAATATATATAGAGGAACCACAGTGAATTTTTAAATGTGTGTTTGTGTTTCTTTCTCTAGTGGTCGTAATGGTAAGATGCGAGTGCTCTCCTTCAAGACGGGCCTGGTTATTCTATGCAAAGCAGACATCCAGGAAAAGTATAAATGTAAGTAGAAGGCCAAGTCACATAACCAAAGCTGCATTTATTTGATCAAAAATACACTAAGAACAGTAATACTGTGAAATATTATCACAATTAATAAGAACTGTTTTCTATTTTAATAGATGGTTTTAATTATATTTCAAGTTTTACTATCCTTTTTAGTTCTTTTGCACCCCACAACATTAGCAAAACCTGACCCACACACCACCTCTTACCTTTTTTTTTTTTTCTGGGAATCTGGGGTCCAGTAACAAAGTAAAAACAAAATGACTGTGCCACAGTGCAAAGTCCTATTCTTTCTCTCATGGGGTTTCCCTTCTAATCTTTTCTAATGCTTTAAAATGTTATCTGTGGCCTAAAATCTCATCTGCTGTTGTGAGAGTGGGTTAGGGGGTAATTTGACAGGGCAGACATAAGCAGATCCCAGTAAAAAAAAGAGTCAGGCATAGTGCACTGCAGAGGGCATCAGAGGAGAAGAGTCCGAGCCAGTTGTAGGATATCAGACCGAATATCGCTGGCCGTCTCAGTGATCAGCCGTAAAACAGTGATTCTGTCCCTTACATATTATTGGTGGAGTTCCCTTTAAAATCTTAAATGATTCCCTTTGAGCTAAATTGACCTGTTTCCCTTACACAGTTTTGGACATCATCTAGTTAGAATACAACCATCATAACTCCCAAACATTGCCTAAAAATGTTTTATATATGTAAAGATAGCGAGCACTGATTAATTCTCTTTGTTACCAATATCTTTGCCATTTCAATAGTAAAAAGCACATGAGCTCTTACTTGTGTGTAGTAAGAGTGTGTAGACAGTGGGGACCTATTGGTCATTACATTTACATTTACATTTAGTCATTTTGCAGACGCTTTTATCCAAAGCGACTTACAATTGGGGAATACATAAAGCAGACATATGCCTGAAAACGAGTGTTTTTTTTTTAAACATTTACATTGTCATTTTGCAGACGCTTTTATCCAAAGCGACTTACAATTGGGGGATACATAAAGCGATTCTTCTTAAAAGAGGCAAACAGATACAGGAAGTGCTTGTAATACCAAGTTTTAGGCATTGTTCAAATAAGTACAAGCTAGAAAGAGAAGGAATAAATAAAGAGATAAAAAATTTTTTTTTTAAATGATGAAGTCAAGTAGGTTCGAAAGAGATGAGTTTTCAGCTGTCGCTTGTAAATTGTCAGGGATTCAGCATTCCAGATAGTGGTGGGAAGATCGTTCCACCAGCCAGGAGTGGTGAACGAGAATGTTCTGGAAAGTGATTTTGAGCCTCTCTGTGATGGTACCACGAGGCGTCGCTCACTAGCGGATCTCAGACTTCTGGAGGGGATGTAGATTCGTAGTAGTGAGTGGAAGTAGGTGGGTGCTGAGCCTGTGGCTGTTCTATATGCAAGCATCAATGTCTTGAACTTGATTCGAGCCGCAACCGGTAGCCAGTGCAAGGAGATAAAGAGAGGTGTAACATGGGCTCTTTTGGGCTCGTTGAAGACCAGTCGTACCGCTGCATTCTGAATCATTTGTAGAGGTTTGATTGTGCTTGATGGAAGTCCAGCCAGAAGAGCATTGCAGTAGTCAAGCCTAGAGATGACAAGGGCCCGTACAAGAAGTTGTGCAGCATGCTCCGTTAGAAAGGGCCTGATCTTTCTGATGTTGTGCACTGCAAACCTGCAAGATCGAGCGGTCTTTGCAATGTGGTCTTTGAAGGTCAGCTGGTCATCAAAGGTTACACCAAGATTTCTGACCGAAGTTGATGGGGTAATTGTAGAAGAACCTAGCTGGATGGTGAAATCATGCTGTAGAGTTGGAGTGGCAGGGGAGACAAGAAGCTCAGTCTTTGCCAGGTTGAGCTGTAGGTGATATTTTTTCATCCATGCCGAGATGTCCGCCAGGCAGCCTGAGATCCGTGCAGCTACCGTTGGATCATCTGGTTGAAATGAAAGATAGAGTTGTGTGTCATCAGCATAGCAATGGTAGGAGAAGCCATGTGCCTGTATGATGGGACCCAGTGATGTAGTGTATATGGAGAAGTGGAGGGGTCCAAGAACTGATCCCTGAGGAACCCCAGTGACAAGTTGATGTGCTTTGGATACCTCCCCTCCCCAAGCCACCCTGAAAGACCTACCAGTGAGATAGGATTCAAACCAGCGAAGTGGAATCCCTGTGAGGCCCAGTGATGAGAGGGTGGACAGGAGGATCTGGTGATTGACAGTGTCAAAAGCGGCAGATAGATCCAGCAGAATAAGAACTGATGATTTGGAATCAGCTTTTGCCATCCGCAAGGCTTCCGTGACTTACAGTAGCGCAGACTCAGTTGAATGGCCACTCCTGAAACCTGACTGGTTAGCGTCCAGTTTGTTGTTCTGTGAAAGAAACAATGATACCTGGTTGAAAACAACTCGTTCGAGGGTTTTCACTATGAATGGAAGGAGAGAGACAGGTCTGTAGCTATCTGTAAGTGAAGTGTTTAATGTAGGTCATGTACAGATTAAGGTCCTGCAGGGCCCCGGGGCATCAGCCTCTTTGTGGAAATTGCAATTTGTCCTTGTTGGAAAATTCTGTTTAGGATGATAGCTGTGTTTTGGAGCATGTTGGCTTGTTTGTATCAGGTCTAAGCTGGTCCAAACGGGTCATTAATTGGTTGACCAGCCACCATGTTCCAAGTCCAGCTGGATTTTTGGTGGTGTACGAGCTTATACCAGCCAATGACAAGCTTAGACCAAACTAGAAACCAGCTACTAGCTTAAATAGCTTTTCCCATCAAAGAATAGACTTTATAATAAAGTCCCAATTTGGATATATAAAGTCACAAATACAAGAAGTTGAATAATTATTTAATAAAAATAATTAAATAAAAATTTTATATTGTTGCAGTTGCAAAAATAATCCCACCTCATGTGCAATACTTTCCAAAAGAGACATCAGTGTACAATGACTATTATACAACATCAAAGCTGCAATAAAGGTTTCTGTGAGTGCTGAGGAGGGGCCAGAAACAAATAACATCTCTCATTTCTTTGTTTATTTCATATCATGCCAACAGCCACTGGCACAAAGTGCTGTTCATCTGTCAATATCAATTTTACAGCTACAGTGACTTGTTTTTGGGTGTCGGGCCTCTTAGCATGAGGCCCTGGCAGTCAGAGGATCCGGGGCTCTGGCCCTGATTGACCCGCCCATAATTTGTCCTTGGACTAGACTATGTATGAGGCTGGTTTACATGTAAGAGTGAATGTGTGTGCCCGCACAGCAGGAAGGTCTGTGTGTGCCAGCCACTTTAGATGGTGCTATTTTTACTGGCACTGCAGAGAACATTCTCACTTCTGTCAGGATCATTCTGCTCAGTGATGGCTAGATTCATGACACAGACTGTTTGAGCTGTTCGGCTCTCTCGGCTAATGTTAGCCTTTTTTCCACATTTACTCCAGTGCTTGCATCAAGCACACACATGCATATTTTGCCACACTCCACTGTGTCAAAAATGATTTTCTCACTTATCAAATATTTGTATTTTCCAGTGGGGGGTCGGGGGGGGAGA